TATAATTCCTTGTTTTCTCTCTACCTCCCTTCTTGAATATTGGAGTGACACTAGCCACCTTCCAATCTGCAGGGACTGTTCCCGAGTCTATAGAATCTTGGCAGATGCCCACTATTAATATTGATCTCTCTCAATTCTTTCCTCTCAATAAATCTTGGATTCTCCAACATTTCTGATAGCTGATTTGTGTCATCTTTTGTGAAGACAGAACCAAAATATGTATTTTGTTGCTCAGCTATTTCTTTGTCCCCTATTATACATCCCCCCATTTCTGTCTTTTGGGGGCCTACATTTATCTTCACCAATCTCTTCATGTACCTATAGAAACTCTTAGTGTCAGTCTTTATGTTCCCTGCAAGCTTACTTTCGTACTGTATTTTCCCCTTCTTAATCAATCCCTTGTTCCTTCTTTGCTGAATTCTCAACTGCTCCCAATCCTCAGACATATTATTTTTCCTGGCCAATCTGTATGCTTCTTCTTTAGATCAGATACTATCTCTAATTTCCTTTGTAAGCCATGGATTGACCCTCTTACCTATTTTGCATTTGTGCCAGATAAGAATAAACAGTTGTTGCAGTTCCCCCATGCGTTTCTTGAAAGTTCGCCATTGCCTATCCACTGCTATCCCTTTAAGTAACTCTCCCCAATCTATTAAAGCCAACTCACACCTCATATCTTCATAGTTTCCTTTATTAAGGTTCAACATCCTACTCTCAACCAACTTCCTCACTCTCCATGTTGATAAAAAATTCTATCATGTTATGGTCACTCATCCCTAAGAGGTCTTGCACAGCTAGATTGGCAAAGATTCCCTTCTCATTACACATCACCCAGTCTAATATGGCCTGCTGTCAAGTTGGTTCCTCCACATATTGGTCAAGCAAATCATCCCGTATACACACCAGGAATTCCTCCTCTACGGCATTGTGGCTAGTTTGATTTGCCCAATCTATGTGCAGATTAAAATCACCCATGATCACCGATATTCCCTTTTCACATGCATCTCTAATTTCCTGTTTAATGCCATCTTGACATCACCACTGCAGATTGGGGTCTATATATGACACCTACTAATGTTTTTTTGCCCCCTGGTATTTTACAATTCTAGCCACATTGTTAGAACTCATATGCTTTCTCCGTATTGTGTTAATTTCCTCTTTAAGCAACAATACCATTCCACCACCATTTCCTTTTTGCCTGTCCTGCCTAAATACTGAATACTCTGGGACATTCAGTTCCCATCCCTGATCACCCTGCAGCCATGTCTCCATAATCCCAATTATATCGTACCCGTTTTCATCTATCTGCACGATTCGCTCATCCACTTTATTGCAAATAGTCTGTGCATTAAGGCACAAAGTCTTTAAGCTTGTCCTTTTAACAGTGTTTGCCTTGTTCTTATTTTTCTCAATAGGCCTGTTTGAATCTTTTCCTTGGTTTCTCAGCCTATCACTTTTCTTATTCAGAGATAGTAGGAACTGCAGATGCTGGAGAATCTGAGATAACAAGGTGTAGAGCTGGATGAACACAGCAGGCCAAGCAGCATCAGAGGAGCATCTGCAGTTCCTACTATCTCTGAAACAATTTTAACCCCACTGCGAAGCCCCATTTCTGAAGAAGGGTCTAGGCCCGAAACGTCAGCCTTCCTGCTCCTCTGATGTTGCTTGGCCTGCTGTGTTCATCCAGCTGTACACCTTGTTATCCCACTTTTCTTATTTCCTTTTCTACCTTTTGTTTAACAACTGTCCCTTGACAACACTCCGTCCGCAAAACACTGTTTAGTCGTGGTGACTGCACCATTGCAAATCTTCACCCCGAACAACCATCAGTGTCATCACAGCTCTCTGCTGGATGCTTGTCTTCAGTTGAACTCGGAAGGTTGTCTTGCTGAGGCCCCCCTTCTGGTAATGGTGACTGCACCGAGGCCAATCATTAAAATCATTCCAGTGTCAACATTGGTTTGATGTGACAAAACCAATTGACTGATCCACTTCCTGAACATCTGAGGTTGCATTTAGACGATTGGCAAATTTAGCAAAAGAAAAGAGTTTCACCTTCAAATCGTTACTGAACATGAAATGAAATGCAGATACTAAAACCCAGCTGAGACTGTAGTCAAGTGGATTGAGACTATTTCTTTCCAGGGAGACTCACCACACTTAGCTGAGACAATAACTCTCACTGTGGTGTCAAGAAACAATTGTTCATAAGGTTTTAACATAAAAAAAAGTTTTCCTTAATTCCAAGGGAGGTTGAAAACCCTGCAAACATTGATCTTCAACAAAAACAGTGCTCATTCATATTGAGAGATAGTAGGAACTGCCAACGCTGGAGTATGAGATAACAAGGTGTAGAGCTGGATGAACACAGCAGGCCAAGGAGCCAAAACCAGTCCAACTCGTCCCTGCCTCCCTAACCTGTTCTTCCTCCCACCTATCCCCTCCTCCCACCTCAAGCCGCACCTCCATCTCCTACCGACCAACCTCATCCCGCCCCCTTGACCTGTCCGTCCTCCCTGGACTGACCTATCCCCTTCCTAACTCCCTACCTACACTCACCTTTCCTGGCCCCATCCCCGCCTCTTCGACCTGTTTGTTTCCTCTCCACCTATCCTCTCCTCTATCCCTCTTCTATCCGCCTCCCACTCTCTCCCTATTTATTTCAAAACCCCCTTCCCCTCCCCCTTTTCTGATGAAGGGTCTAGGCCCGAAACGTCAGCCTCTCTGCTCCTATGATGCTGCTTGGCCTGCTGTGTTCATCCAGCCCTGCACCTTGTTGTCTCGGAAGGCTGATGTTTTGGGTCTGGACCCTTCTTCAGAAATGGGTTCAGAAATGAATTTCTGAAGAAGGGTCCAGACCCAAAACGTCAGCTTTCCTGCTGCTCTAATGCTGCCTGGCCTGCTGTGTTCATCCAGCTCCACGCCTTGTTGTCTCACTCATATTGAGCGTTCAGGAGCGTAATTAAGCAAATATCTGACGCCAGAGTATTCAAGGAAACATTAAGCCCGGTACCCGAAAAACCAAATGAAAGATGGAGGGCTGTAAAGGTTATTTTAAAAGAGGTGAGGGAGATAAGGAATTCTGAAGACAGACAGAGGCAACTGATGGCGGATTAATAACATTCATGGTTGAGCAAGAAGCTAGACTTGAAGGGCTTTCACAGAGTTTTAAGGCTGGAGGAAGTTCAAGTGATGAAGAGGGTGATGAAGCCAGTAAAATTCTGAAGATACACAATGACTCCCAGTCTTTGTCTCCACCATCATTCGTCACGCATGACAAGTGAGAATTGAATGTCAGCATTTGGGAATTCACATTTGTTAGTGCACAACACGTCATCCTGGGCTAGAGTGTGCTGGAACATCAGTTTATTCTACCTGTGTTTTACGCTTTAACTAATGCCTTGGTTACCCCTCACAAAATCGCAACTAAATCTTTCGCTTATAAAATGCTGACAGTCACCTTAGAATAATTCTTCCAACATCAGCAAAATGTAAAGAATACTGTAAAAGGAACTTCTGCCAGTTGCAGTCATGTTTGAGTCACAGTTATTAAATCTAAAACAGATTCAAAACTAATAACGGCCTCTATTACTTATTAACAGTGACATAATTGGCTGGCTGTGTCTTTTAAGGGAAGTTTGAGCAATATACTCCTTGGAGTCAAAACAAAAATGAGAAGCTACCTTACTGAAGCATGAAAGAGTCTGAGGGGGTTTGACAGGGTGGATGGTGAAAAGATGTTTCCTCATCTAGAGAAATTTGAATGAGGGGGCACAATTTAAAAATGTGGGGCTTTCATTAAGATGGAACTCCGCCACTCAGAAGTGCATTCATCTCTTTCTCAGGAAACATGAGAAGGTTGGCTCATTGAATACATTCAATAAGGCTGAATTCATAGATATTTCATCGGCAAGACAGTCAACGGTTATAGGGGATCAGACAGGAAAGTAGATTTAAGGCCACAATCAAATCTGTCATTGAATGGCAGGCTTGATGGGCCAAATGACCTATTTGTCCTGCTGTTTCTTATATATTTATATGGAGTAATGGTGTAGTGTCTTGATGTATTAACAAGCCAAAGCCATGAAATGTAGAACATAGATTCATGCATAAGATAACACAGTGTGGACCTGGAGGAACAAAGCAGGCCAGGCAGCATCAGAGGAGCAGGAAAGTTGACGTTTCAGGTCGGGACCCTTCTTCATAGATTCATGTTTCTGGTTCCCAAGCAGAGAGGTAATGAACCTACCACTTATCCTCTAAGAAAGATACTAGTAGGAAGGCTGAGAGAGTGACAGAGAGGATTGAAGGATGAATTGCCTTTGATTACACTTCTTTGTGGTGACCAGATTAAAGCCTCAAACCAGTTGAAGATCTGATGTACATGAATATTCAGCCAGGGGCCTGGCATGTATCTGAATTTCAGCATTCAGGTGCCATTTCTTGTATCCTGTTTGTGTTTCTTACAACATCGCATTGCCATACAACACTGTAGCCGGTCCAACTTTGATACTCAGCTTTAATCTTCATCTTCACTGAAGCACTCAGATTTCTGCTCTCCAGCAGAAATACTGAGGGAAATACTGAGAATGTTACAATCAAAAATTAATCATGAGTTAGTGACTTTTGATCCTAGCCACAACTTTAACTTAATTTTAAGCCCATGTGCTTCAATGAGCCAAGGTTAATATGTTGACTTCAAAAGCAGAACACATTCATCCAGCCTCTGGATTGAATTTTGAATATATTACTAGATTCTACATTTTTTCTTTGTAACCATTTCATTGGGCAGAGATGGACTAGGATCAATACAAAAGTGCAATTAAATAATCAACAATTGTCTTGCGGCTCTCGGAGTATATAGAACAGCAGTATGGTGTCTGTGGTGACAGTTTCTCTTCAGTCTCTGAGAAGCTGCAGAAACAGTGGAGGAAGTCATATCCACACAAAACAGTCCAACATTGCAGATTTAACTAATGAAAGAGATGTTTGTTTTGCAGAGGACTCTGGTCGGAAACTTTCAATTGAAGAAGAGGAGGCAAAACGGATCGCAGAAATGGGGAAACCCATTTTGGGTGAGCATCCGAAATTGGAGGTCATCATTGAAGAATCCTATGAATTCAAGGTACAAAATCCTTTAATTTCCATTTTAAGCATGTGAAATAAGGGATTAAGTATTAAGAGATACGGAATTACGGGGAAAATGATATGGAGATGGGAGATCAGCCAACGTCTAGATGAATGGTGGAACAGGCTTGAGGAGGCAACCAGCCAAGTCCAACATTCAGTCCCGATGTTCCTATGTATATAGTTCACTGGAAATAATATCACAGTATTTACCTGACAGACCTATCAAAATATATAGGGGAATGAGATGAAAAGGGTGGGTGTTTGCCATCTGTTCTTAGTTCTATTAAAACAAGTTACAAGTCTCTGAAATTAAATCTGAACTCAGGACTATTCTTATTAGTTCTTTGCTTATAAATTCACATGAATAAGGGCCAATTATTTCACACTTCATTATGAGAATTAAGGTGTGGGGGCGAGGAATTGGAACCAAGTGTATTTTTAGTGGCAAAGATAATGTGGGGTGTGCTAAATATTAGGAAAGCACGCATACAGTTAAACCCCAGTTGCTCAGAGTATGTTGCCTTGACCATTTTATTGCTGCAGCCCCTTTGCTTTCTTGAAGGCCTTAGACCTTTAGGCTTTCACAACTTTGGAGCAGGATTTCCACTCGCCTACCATTTGAATATATGCAGTGGGCATCGAACAGAATTCTTGCTGGTATCGGGAGACCATCTTGGGAAAGTAAGGAAAATCATTAGCAGCATTTTCTGAAGTGGTGAACTTAACTTGCCTCATAAGCAATTGCACTCCCAGCTAATAAAATGTAAATCTCGCCTCCTTATGTAATACCAAGAATGCATGGTGTTCTGAGTGTGCCCAAGGTTGTAGAGGTGGGTAATATATTATTCAACACATTCTTTCTGTCTCAATAGAATAAAGCTACTGCATTTGAGAAAATTTATCAAGTAGTTGATATCAGTTCCAATAGGAAGACGACTGAGGCGGTGCCAGAATGTAAGAGCCAATGGAATATTTGTTTGCACAATTTCCCTCCTCGGCTTTGTTCTCTACCTCTCCTCCTAAAACCTTAAAAAGCTGGAATTATGCTGAACCACCAGATCTTTTTCTGAAGGAAGCTTCTGCCTTACAGATTGCAGCTTCTTGCTGTCCACAGAGTTATGTCTCGCAGTGTACATCACTCTGAGGTATCTCTGAAATTCAGTCATGAGGAAACCCAGACAACAATTGCTCACTTGGAGGACTGGTGCAAGCACAATGGGCTGAATGGCCTTCTTCTGCACCATAATGACTCTGTGATATTGACATCGGTTCATCTCTCTTGATAAACTGTTTAAGACCACCTTCTCCTCAATGTTGACTTGTATTTCATGCACAAGACCGTCGAGGACCTCCTGCACTTTTGTGGAGTCTTTTCCATTTAAATAATAGTCTGCCTTTTGATTATTGATGTGTGACATCACACTTTCCTATGTTATACTCCATTTGCAAGTTTTTGCCCACTGATTCAACCTATCCGTATTTGTTGTGGTTTTACTTGTCTCATCACAATTCTCCTCCCATCCATTTTTTTATCATCAGCAAATTTTGATACGTTACTCTCTGCCCAGTCCTCCAAGTCATTAATATAGATGATAAATAATTGTGGCCCCAGAACTGATCCTTTCAATAGACCGCTGGTTACATATTTCCAATCTGAAAAAGACCAATTAATCCTGATTTTCTGTCTTCTGTGTGTTAAACATTTCTCAGTTCATGCTATTACCTCCAATCATGACCTTCCATCTTGTCCAATAATCTTTTATGTGGCACCTGATCAAATACCTTCTAGCAATCCAAATGCATTATATCTACCAGATACCCTTTATCAATTCCACTTATTATATCCTCAGAGAACTTTCACAAAACCATGTTGACGTTTCTTAAAACTTTTCGAAATGCCCTGCTAATTCTTCCTTTAATAATGAAACTCTAGCTTTTTTTTCCCCAATAACAGACGTTGGCCTAACTTACCAAAAGTTTACTGCTTTCTGTCTCCTTCCCATTTTGAACAGGGCATCAGAGAGTTTTGGAATATTCTGACCAATGCCTGTACCTTCATTGTTTTAAGGGTGGAACTTCCTCCCATTGAGAGGTACAAGTCTATCTCTCCACCAGCTTAGCCTTCCCGGTGCTTGTAAAGGCCGCATGTCAGGTTTGTTCCAGCTCGGGGAACCTATTGGATGACCAGTCTGTGCCCCCATCTGCAAAGTGGCCCAGCACTTTTACCGTTGCATGTGTTGAATCTCCTCTTTCCCCTTATTCAAAAACCTGATCTCCTCCACCAATCCTCTCCCTTTTCTAGTCCTGAGTCCCTGTCTCTGATGTTTCTGCCCCACTTCTGTCTGTAGCTATTAATCTCCTCACTTTCAAAACTGCTGCTGTCGTCTCAGTCCTGATAGAACACAATATTCATCATTGCCCAGGCCCTACACTCTGCCAAGTCCTTGAATATGGTGTCATCTCACAGATTCAACCCCATCTCTTCTGCAACTCTTGTTTGAATTCTACCCCTCCGCCTGCGTCACAATGGCTTGAACCAATGTTGAATGATCCTCTCAGTTACTGTGACCATGGTCTGTTATTCTTTTTTGTCCTCCTCAAACTCTGTGCAAACCTTTCACACTCAAGAGCACTGTTCTTCAGATGCTGTCCAGCTCTATTCAACGGTTCTTAGTTAATTCCAGGCACTTACTGATTCAGAAATTCTCCACTAATAGAACAAGCACCAGGCAGCTTTGATAGTGTATGGAATTACTCATAACAAGCTCCATACACTTACTGATCTTTATTTGTTCCAGGTCATCAGTTTTAACATTTTGATGCTTGATTTCAAATCCTCCCATGGACCCCTCCTTCCCTCTGTAACTTCTTAAAATCCTCCAAATGTTTATTTATAGCTTCTCCACAATTTTCATTGCTCCACCATTGGTGGCTGTGCCATCAAGTATCGGACTCCTAAAATTGGGAACTCCCCCAATAAACCTCTCCAGCCCTCTTAACTGTCTTCACCTTGAAACCGACCTCTTTAATTTTGGAGGAGATGGTGGCATAATGATAATATCACTGGGTTAGTAACTGAGAACCTTAGGCTAATGTTGTGAGGACACGGGTTCAAATTCCATCATGCTAAAATTATGAATTCAATATAAATCTGGAATTTAAAGCTAGTCTAATGGCAATCCTATTGATTGGCACAAGGGGAAATCCTGAAGTCACGTGCAGATTAAGTCAGGCAAGCAGTTTCCTTCCCTAAAGGACAGTAAAGTGAACCACATCGGTTTTTTACTAAATGTTAGGGGTATGGAAAATTCACACCTCATTTGTCATTGCCTCCAGTCACTCCTGAGTATTGTCTCAGAACCAAGGTTAGCGTCAAAAACATCTGCTCTTATCGTTTTTGTCATTGGCACCATCCTGTTCATTATATATTAGAATGCAGAATTCTGGCTGCCAACTCATCTTATTATGTTATCAGCAGCAAAGACTATTTACAGAGAAATAAGAACACTAGGTTTAATCATCAGCCCAATTTCTATAAGTGAATTTCTCTATTTTAAGCAGAGTGTGTTATCGAGAATTACCTTGTCACATAATTTAAAATGTTCTTTAAAAACCAACACAAACACCAATATTGACAAAATCACTACATAGCCATGAATCAACTGTGTGGTTAGATATTTTGAGAGGTGGAAGCATGTAGCAATAATATTTCTTTACGCATTTGCCAGTAACTTGTTTTTGCTAGATGGATTACCATAGATACCAGAGTAATAGTCAATGTGTTGCAAATAGTGACCTCCAACCTTTGCTCAAAAATCATTCATTTTTCATGTACCCTGTGTACAGGTCAACCCCCAACATTTAAGCAAAATAATTCTAACTCTTTGCACTTAACATCTGGTTAGCCACTCAAATCAATCTTTTCCTAATTGGTAGAATCACAGATTGGCACAGCATTAAATGTCATTGTGTCTGCACACAGTAATACGTGATGTCATGTCTGCCACCTCATTGGCGTACACTGTCCTGCCAATCCTGGCCTCTGATATGACAAAGTGGTGTCAAGAAGGAATGATCAATACACAGCAAATAATTGTGCACAGTGAGAGAATTCAAAGCAAGCAAAGTTGGAGGGATAACAATGTTAGTGAAAACAATTGGCTTTGCAAAGTGTGAATTCACGTTGTGCTGTTGTGTACGTATGACAGGATATAGTTTCTGCCAATGGTGATATTCAGAAAAAAAAATCCTCCCTAAACAGCACTTCTCAAAATGAGTAGTCATCCGTCTTCAAGACTCGGGATGGACAGATGAAGGTGGCTTGAAACTACGGCTGAGGAGTTTCCGATTGGGAGGGTTATATAACGGAAAAGAAAAATCTGTGACACGTTCAGTTTGCACCTTGTCGATGATGTTACCAATAAAATAATAGAAAATATGTGGCACAGCAAAATGTCATTTGGCCCATTGTGTCTGCAGTATTGGATAAACAGCAAGCCATCTAGCTTCAACCCAATTTCCAGCATTTAGCTCATAGCCTTGCGGGTTATCAAGTTGGGGTGTATTTCCAAGCTTCTAATTGAAGGATTCTGCTTATAGGACCCTTTCAGCCAGTAAGTTTCACACCCCTACCCCCTCCTCATCTCCCCTCCAATCTTTCTCCCCAGACTCTATGACTCCATGCTCCCTCATCTCTGACCTCTCTCCTAAAGTAAATCATCCCTGCACCTGCTTTATCCGGGGCCTCTCAATTTTGAGGATCTCACTCAAGTCTGCCCTCAGACTCCTCCATTGCAAGGCCAACAACTCTAGTCTGCCCAATCTTTCCTCACAGTTGTATTTTTCCAGTCCTGGCAATATCCTCGTAAATCTCTTCAGTACTGCAGTTACTGAGGTGGGAAGTACTGCACACTATAATCACATTGTGACCTAACTAATGACTCATGTTGGCTCATAAAAGAAAGGATTACATATGCCATCCTAACCACCTACCGA